CCACCCCTGTTGCAGGTTGTATACAAGTGATCTCAGTGACATCGTCAAGATGTACACCAGCGACGACTTCCCCGCTGTACATTTAGCTCTGGTGCCCAAAGCAGGGCTAAATGTACAAAACAACTACCCGCCTGGCGCCCGGAACTGCATGTCCCGGGCATCGGGAGATAGGAATTCCACAACCCCTGGTCCCCTGCTACCCCAAGGCCGGGCCTTGTGGGAAATGCAAGCCCTGATTGCAAACACGCAATCCATCATTAATTAAAACATCGAGCAAAGCAACACATACGGTACTGAATAAAAACACACTCGTGAATGTAAGGGGGGACTCAACTCTTCAAACATGGATGTAAAAGGGGGACAGAGCTGGGCAAACATGGATGTAAAGGGGGCAGAGCTGGGCAAACATGGATGTAAAGGGGGGACAGAGCTGGGCAAACCTGGATGTAAAAGGGGGACTGAGCTATGCAAGCATGGATGTAAAGGGGGACAGAGCTGGGCAAACATGGATGTAAAATGGGGACTGAGCTATGCAAACATGGATGTAAAGGCGGACAGAGCTGGGCAAACATGGATGTAAAGGGGGACAGAGCTGCGCAACCATGGATGTAAAGGGGGACAGAGCTGGGCAAACATGGATATAAAAGGGGGACAGAGCTGGGCAAACATGGATGTAAAAGGTGGACTGAGCTATGCAAACATGGATGTAAAGGGGGACAGAGCTGGGCAAACATGGATGTAAAGGGGACAGAGCTGGGCAAACATGGATGTAAAGGGGGACTGAGCTGGGCAAACATGGATGTAAAGGGGGACTGAGCTGGGCAAACATGGATGTAAAGGGGCAACCACAGAAAAATACAAAAAAGGATAAAGCGCACTCCTGTGGGCACACTACAATTAGGTAAAAACGGTAAAAGAGGGCGAGCGCACAACTGTTATGCAATGTGGCAGGAGGAATAGATCTATTTAAAATAAATTTTGATGTTAAACAATTCTGGAACAATTTTGAAACAAAAACAAGACCAAAAGTTAAAACAAATTTTTTTAAAAAATTAGTTAAAGAATGGGGTGAGCCAGCTTCTCGTTCAGGGGGAGGGACCCTGCAGACACATGTAAAAAGGAGGATGGAAAGAGGCGCTGCAACCCTGGGATATTGTGGGGATAGTAAAATAACAACTTTGAAAACTTAAAAACAATACTAGACTGAAAACTCACTGTTTGGGTGGACAAGATGAGGTCTTGCAAATCAGAAGAAAGGCTGTATGAATTGCTCAGCAGTGTCTTGGGGTGATCGGTGTGGTGAGAGATAGTGGTGACAGCTAGGGGGCTCCTGTGGCTGGAGCGCAAGAATCTGCCGTCCTGTAGCCTTGTTTGTACACAGGCTCTGCACTGAGGGTGTTCGTGCCGTCTAATACCGTGGGAGGTCAGCTGGCCAGGCTGAGACCCTACGGTTGAATGGGAGCGAAATTGCCGCTCTGTAGCGGTTTGAAAAACTGTCAGCAGTCGTTGTGACAGATCGTTTTTGAAGATAGGCACGGGGCTGGAAACCAGTGCGGTCTATCTCGCTGGGTGATGGGAATGTCAATCGGGCAGTTTGGCTACGCGTTTCGAGGAATCCCGCTTTTAAAAGCTTTTAGACTTGATAAAGAGGGATTCCTCGAAACGCGTAGCCAAACTGCCCGATTGACATTCCCATCACCCAGCGAGATAGACCGCACTGGTTTCCAGCCCCGTGCCTATCTTCAAAAACGATCTGTCACAACGACTGCTGACAGTTTTTCAAACCGCTACAGAGCGGCAATTTCGCTCCCATTCAACCGTAGGGTCTCAGCCTGGCCAGCTGACCTCCCACGGTATTAGACGGCACGAGCACCCTCAGTGCAGAGCCTGTGTACAAACAAGGCTACAGGACGGCAGATTCTTGCGCTCCAGCCACAGGAGCCCCCTAGCTGTCACCACTATCTCTCACCACACCGATCACCCCAAGACACTGCTGAGCGATTCATACAGCCTTTCTTCTGATTTGCAAGACCTCATCTTGTCCACCCAAACAGTGAGTTTTCAGTCTAGTATTGTTTTTAAGTTTTCAAAGTTGTTATTTTACTATCCCCACAATATCCCAGGGTTGCAGCGACTCTTTCCATCCTCCTTTTTATGGATGTAAAGGGGGACAGTGCTGGGCAAACATGGATGTAAAGGGGGGACAGAGCTGGGCAAACATGGATGTAAAAATGGGACAGAGCTGGGCAAACATGGATGTAAAGGGGGACTGAGCTGGGCACTCCTGGATGTAAAGGGGGACTTAGCGAGTCATTCCTGGATGTAAAGGGGGGAGGGGGTCTCTGCTTGGGAAACATGGATGTAAGGAGGAACTCAGCTGGGCGCTCATGGATGTTAGGGGGGACTCAGGGCCTGTTCACATGAGTTTCAGGTCCGGATCTGCAGACGCGGTGCTACTGATGCAGTGCGTTTTGGCCACGCTTTTGATGCGTTCCAGTTAAAAAAAAAAATCTTTTTTTTTTTTTGCTTGGATGTAAAGGGGGGAGGGGGTCTCTGCTTGGGAAACATGGATGTAAGGAGGAACTCAGCTGGGCGCTCATGGATGTTAGGGGGGACTCAGGGCCTGTTCACATGAGTTTCAGGTCCGGATCTGCAGACGCGGTGCTACTGATGCAGTGCGTTTTGGCCACGCTTTTGATGCGTTTCAATTAAAAAAAAAAATCTTTTTTTTTTTTTGCTGGAGTGGGGCTGTTAGTATGTTAGCTGCAGTGCAGTGCGTTTTTGACGCGTTTTTGACGCGTTTGCGTTTCCTGACCGTTTCCTAACCGTACAAAATGTGACATGCAGTATTTTTCTGTCGTAACCTGAACGGACTGCGCACGTGAGAACTGTAGCCCATAAAATACATAGGGATACATTGGGATGCATTTTGAGTGCAGGAGCGTACGGATCAGGTCAGCACACAAAACGGACGTCGTGTGAACAGGCACTCAGCTGGGCGCTCATGGATGTAAGGAGGGACTCTAATGGGCACTCCTGCATGTAAAACGGGACTCTGCTGGGCACACCTGGATGTAAGGGCGGGCTTCATTCATTTGCATTTCATTCATTCATTTATAAACCTGCAAATATTTGTGAAATATCCGATGTGGCCCTCTTACTTATCCAAATCCCTTGGAATATTTCATGTATTTTTAAATTGTTTTCCAGGGGCAGCAATATGATTATTTCTGTACACAAATCCCTCAGAACAGGACATACATCAATTCAATTCATCTCTGTATTACATTTCATATGCTGGCTTATTTAAAGTCAAACTTCAGCCAAAACTTTTTTGTATCCTGGAGTTGGGATTTAAGAGTAGAAAGTGTTAGAATCTCAAAATAAAAAACAAAAAAAACACACGATCAGAAGCAATTTGTTAAAAATGATCATTTAATCGATCTGTATTATGATCAGTTGTCTGACAGGCACACAGATATTCACTCGATCAATCAGAAATGATCAATGAAATTCCACCATGGCCAATCGACTTGCCAGCGTCAAAACCGATCGGAAGCTCACTGAATCGATTGGATGGAGCGTTTGTGGGTTATGATTCTTATTCAATTCGATAATTGTAGCCGCATCAAAAGATCGATTGATATGATCATATCGATACGTGTGTGGCTGATCCATTTAGTGAGCTTCCAATCGATTTTGACGCTAGCAAGTTGATCGGCTGTGGCAAAATTTTATCGATTGTTTGTTATTGATCGAATTATTTCTGTGAGGAACATGACATAAAATAGTACAACTCAAACAAAACTAAAAAAATTGCTCCTTCAGGTCTCAAGCTACAATGAGGGAAAGTGACAATAACAAAGTTAAATGGCAGGCATGTACCCGTGTGTGTGTATATATATATATATATATATATACATACATACGGTATACAGTATATATTGTTCTCAGCCAATGACTTCTCTAGGTAAAGATTAGTTGTAAATCGTAAAGGAGGAACTAGGTGATGATGAATCATAAACTTGGGATATTCCCGAGCAATATTTATTAGCATATTGCACCTTATAGCGGAATGGGACCAGAAATGTAGTATCCCTATCGTCCGGGTCCATATTTTTGGTAATGAACACTGACCGCCTCTTGAAGAAACGCTTCATATGGGGATCACTTTCTCTATGTAGCGCTGCATCAGGTTTTTTCGAGATAAAGCAACTGACGCAGATCACAAATAACTAATGCCACTTTTGAGGGTCTACTGAGAGCCATTCTCACGAAATGCGTTATTAATCGACAGCTTAAATTTTTTTTTTTAATATTCTTTCTTAATTTTCCAAATTTTAAGGGCAAAAATGATATCTTCACAGTACCACATTAGCTAGATCTTTGAATATTTCCGATTCCTTCTCTGGACAATTCATATACACTTCCATCAGGCCTGAGGGGAACCATACCTTCTCCTGGTTTATCTTTCCGGATT